CTGGTCAAAGGATGTGTGATATTGTGATATGTTTGTTCTTCATCTTCTTCACCTTTTTATATAGAGGTACTCTAACTAACTACTATGTCATTACATGTGTGAAGTGTTTTAGAGTAAAAATTTATTATTTTAGGAACATAAAAAAAAACAATTTAATGTTTATTCAATCGTTTGAAAAAATTTTCCTTTCAAACAATGCATCTGTTATCCAGAATAGCTCCTGATAATTTATCGGAACGGTCAGTTTTCTGCCACGTTTGTTTTCGGATAATTCTCTTTTGCACAAATCTAAATCTTCCTTTTTCTCTTGATTTTACCTTTAGTCCATTTTAGAGTTCATGCATTGCCTCGAATGGATAGAAAGAATCGAAATTTCATATTTTCATGTTACACGTGTAAAACGGTTTAGAGTAAGAGTTTATTCTTTTAGGAACATAAAAAAAAATAATTTAATGTTTATTCAATCTTTTGAAAAAAATTTCCCTTCAAACAATGTATTTGTTATCCAGAATAGCTCATGATAATCTATCGGAACAGTCAGTTTTCTTCCACGTTTGTTTTCAGATAAATCTCTTATGCGCAAATCTAAATTTTTTTTTTCGGTTGATTTTACCTTTAGTCTATTGTAGAGTTCATGCATTGGCTCGAACGGATAAAAAGAATCGAGATTTTATATTTTCACGTTACCTGATTGGTTAAAAATCTTAAATAAAAAAATGAAATGTTAATGTTGATAAAAGTAATTATCTCCTAACTTTCTCTATATGATTGACATATGGCTTCTTTTATTGTTGACAAATGTCATAGATTCAGTTTTCGACTTTTAATCTCCAGTAAAACCCTATTTGACCATTAATCTATGTCATAACACATAACTAGATTCTCATCCGCGCTATGTACGGGAACATTCATTGTATATATTGTAAACTATACTTGGTGTTCGTATAATTGTATTATGTCATATATGATATGTTCTAACATTAGATATTGTATGTTTTTAGGTTGTAAGTAGAATC